CAGTGTTTAGAATTTAGGGCTTAGCCGCTAAGCCCTAAATTCTAAACACTGAATCCTAAACCATTTGTCATTACACTTGGTGTGAGGCACATGGCGAAGGCAACGGGGAGAAGCGCATTGATCCTGCGGCTGCCCGATAGCATCAAGGTTTTAGTTTTCAGGGTTTAGGGTTTGCAGTTTAGGGTTTTAGGGTTTAGGGTTAAGGGTCTTAGGGTTTCGCCTGGACAAGTCCCGAAGCAAAAAGGGCTCTAGGTGGCCGGGGCGCTGGACACCGCATTTCACCAATGCCCAAGAAGCTAGAATTAAAGCTAGAATTAGTCAAGTTCGGGGGTCAGGGGTTTTCCCAGTATGGAGGTGGGGGAAATGACCTGCCTTAATACAAAGTTTGTTTACTGGTTCTTAGTAGGGAAGGTGGGAAGATAATCCCCTTCATAATCCCTATATAATGTAGTCCCATATTCACTACTAAGAACCAGTTTGTTTGCGACTAGTTTGCTTCAAGCAGGCATCTCCACGAGGCCTTCTCCAAACCCTCTTCTTGAACAAAGCTCCGTACTGACAACAAACCCTAAGCCCTAAGTGCAACGTGCGCTTTCCCCGCTCGAATGTGTTAGTGTTCTGGATGCTGTCCTGCAGACGGAACAGAGCGTGCCAAAAACAAGCTACACCCGGTATCGAAGCCAAACATGCTCGTTGGGTTGCAGGGTGAAGAAGTGAATGGCGTTGGCGTGAGCTGTTTACATCTTGTGCTCCGGCCCCCTAGTTACATAAGGTAGGCCTACCGAAAGTGCCGCTTCTGACAGCATTCAGGATGGAAAGGCCTACACGTTCAACGAGATTTCCAGGTTCTACAAAGGAGCATTCCTGGGTGGAATGGAAGGGGGTTCATGGCATGTGAAGGGAGCCCAATCTTCTGCAAAGATCCATGAACATGCACATTGCTCTTGCGTCTGTAAACTCGAATCACCTGCTTAAGATTTTTCTGGCATCCCTTTTGCTCCTGCGTGCCCTCGCAACGAGTTTAGCCAGGTTAGGAAATGGCCATCAATGAGGGTAGGCTTGCTCCCGGCAGGACTCTATAGCAAACGCGACATTGAGACCTATTGGGACCGCAGCTGCAGACCTCTGAACCGCTGAGCCGAGCACCTGCCAACCCTGCCAGGACCACGAAGCCGCAGAAGCTTTCAACTACCTAGCAGTGTTTGTTGCAAAACGCAATCCCGCTTGCCCTATCATCACGCACAGATCTTGAAGGGATCATTCGTAACTAAGTAGACCTCCAAGTCCGGAACGTGTTGCCATATCACCTGTGTTCTGCTGGCTGATAAGGTTAGACTACTGCGGGATGCTTCAGTGGTTCTTTGGTAGAATGCATGCGGCAGATGGATCTGAATCTAAGATCTGGATCAGATCATGTTTGACTGCGTTGGTGCCTGCAGGCATAGCGGGATTGACATGCATCTCTCGACCAATTTATATACAGAGACTGTGACATGCTTGGCTGACAATGCTGACATTTAGACCCCTTGTTCTGGAATGCAGAGGAGGATCCATGTAAGAAAGAGAGTGGCTGAAATTAATGCGTGTCATTGGGACCTACACCATTTACCCTACACCCATCTCTTGAAGCACTCACTAGCTGCGGAGCCCAAATCAGGCCTGATTGAGGCTTTTTCTTGCCTTCGAACCTTTGAAACGGCGTGGTGTAGATCCTGATGAAGACCGAAGGTGTGCTGCGCCCCTCGGGGCCACCTCACCGAGAGACATGCGCTGGACGACACATAGCCCACTTCCTTGGGCAATGACATGAAAATCGTAGATCGCTAACTCCAAAATCAGGGTCTCTCCCTGCATGTACAAATGATAAATTCTATGATTGAGATTGGCTTGGAGGGGGCGACCCTGACTTTGGCACATTGCCAACTGTGCACCGAATCGATTCCATCCCACAGGCTGCTCCAGAGCAGAAAGGCTTGCCAAGTTCAGATCTGCATGTTCAGTAGTGTTAGCTGCAGTGTAATTAAAATAACAGCAATCATAGCAGTAATACTTGATGTGAGCGCTAACCTCAGGAACATGTTAGTTCATGGTGCTTGCATGTTCTAGTGCTCCGACCACTAGTCTTGTCCGTCAGCTGCAACCGCTACATGGTACTCGCCCAAGCAACCACTGTTTGATGTTGTCCGAGTCGCTGTTGTCGTGTTTTCGTATCTCAGAGGCAGCAGCGGGCCAGGTTGAATGCTGATGCAAGATATGGTAGTTTCCCCAAATGGGGGGAACGTAACATAGACCCCAAAATGCTATAGACCTTCTTATGAGTACTTCCAAAATTAACTAGCTGTGGCAAACCCCCGTGTTGTGGTGGCTTTATGAAAGCAAGCACAACGCGGGGGTTCGCCAAATGTCCATCACCCAGATATCCTCATGCAGTCCTTGCTTGCTCCAACAGACCTCCGTTCGTACTGTTGTACACAGCGGATGGGAAGTTCAAGGAGACTACCCATACAAATCTAAATACACCATAATTTAGATAGATATGTGTGTGTATGTGGGTATGTATGTATGTATGTATGTATGTATGTATGTATGTATACGTAGGTAGGTAGGTGGGTAGGTAGGTAGTTAGGTAGGTACGTAACTAGTTTTTGGAAAAGTGGCGGTGGGTGCGATATAACTTTCAATTACACAACCGGTTCTTAGTAGGGAATAAGGGAATCTGGGATTATAAAAGGCAGTATATTCCCGTGTTCCACAGTAAGAACCTGTAAGTGAACGAAGGTCAAAGGCAAGGTCTGTTCTGGGATAGCCTTCCCCAGACGCATCCTGGAGCAGCCTGTGAGGCTTGCGGATAGCTGGCTTGGAGTTGTCGCCAGATGCCGTGGAGGCCCACTGAAGTTGTGTAGGCGCTGGAGCGAGCAATTCAACTTTTGTTCGTTTTGCAAGTGATATTCTAGATTTTCCCAATATACTATGTAGTCCCTGTATAAACCCATATATAACCCTATACAACCCCTATATATCCCCAATATACTATTGCACGGATACTGCGCCCAAGCCCCGCTCTCCTTCAAGCAGGGCATCCAGTGAAAGAGCTTTGTAAGAGGTGATGAAGGCGCGTGGCCTGGAATCTCACGTGGGTGCCTGCCTCAGCAACCCACATGCGAATGGCCCCGCGCCGCGAATATCTTGATGCCTGGAACTGGAGCAGCAAGCTGCTAAGTCTACGAAAACAGCTCTTGGGGTCTGTGCCTGAAATGTGCTTGTTACTGTTGCTACTACTTCATGGTTATTATTACTGCTACTACTACTTCTTACCATTATTGTTGTATTATCATACTATAATCAATGGAGAATATCAGTGGCTCGTACCTGCATGCTCAGGTTCGTTCTGGAATCTGCCGACCTCAACAAAGTACGACACCATGCTGATGCTGATGAACACGGCAGGCCACCGCAATTCTGTGGTTGCGAAGGGCTGTGGACGGATTTAGGCGGAGAAACGCAAAAATGGCCCGAAAAGCCGAAAAGTCAAAAAGTTTTGTTTTGGCAATTTGGCGCGAAAAGTCGAAAAGCCGAAAAATCCGAAAAGTTCCG